CGTGAGATTTCACTCGTGTCATCCCTATATAGAGCGTCTACCGACGCTCTGATATAACCTGACTGAATTAACAGTCTCATCAAAGTATTTCACTCCTTTTAGCAACGATGTTAGCTAACACTAAATTCGGTGTCGAGTATGAGTTTTATAGAAATACATCATTATTGTTGACAAATTCACAAATATGACATAATATAATTATAGAGAACAAATGTCTAATTTGTTTACACTTCTCTGTTAGGTGGGCCTGGTATAGTTTCTGAACAATTCTACTCTAGTAGTAGTAGGTCTGTCCACATCTGATAACTGGGATAATATAGTATTGCTGTTCATGATCATTTTCGTAATGACTAGAGTATTCTTACTGCACAGGATTAGGTTAGTGTTTGAGAACTTGCTGATGTAATGTTCCTTAATAATATGAATTTTCCTGCACTTTGCGCCAAAAAGTGTGCCCATGCAAGCATTTCTTAATGCCTTGGACTGGCGAATAAATCGTACCGTATGAAAGAGTTGGCATTGTAGACTTGAAAATGGTCTCTGTTTCTGGAGGGCCTCTACAACACCTCGGTAGCTACTGGGAGGCAGGGTTTAGGAGGTGTGCATTGATTCGAACTACTTGTCTTCTTCCCGTAGCTCTGGGAAGAAGTTTTCTTACACACATTGCATGTATTCTCTTGAAGCTTGTGATGAACTGGAGACTGTCACGTAGAGTCCCATGCTGCTCTTGAAGAGGTAGTTGTTCCTCTACATACAGGATCTTTTGCAGAGTTAGCACCTCTTCACTTCCTATTCTTGACCACACATTCACATAAAACCTGTGAGATGACATTACTGGATGATTTATTGATTTTTGTGCATTCATTTTAATTCCACAGGCTCGAATTCCAAAATCATTGCATACATCTGGATAATAGTTCTTGGGGTAGTGTTCACCAATTGAGAGTGGTGGTTGGTGTTTAAGCTTTCTTGTGCAGTTTACAAGAGTCAGAGCCTGTTGAACTGCTGGAGTGTGCATGTACCTCCCATGCAGCATGACACAGGTAACGGAGGAATTAAAGCAAAGTCGGGTGATAAATTCCTGCAGGTTTTCTTCACTGAGTTCAGTTACTACAGGTTCTTCAATCATCCCCAGCATTTTAAGTGTATTGTTTTTTTACGAGACAGCGAGAGAGAGACTCAAGAGCAGCAGGTGAGATCATATTGTCGTGGAGGTGGAGGCTAGCAAGACAATGGTTGTTTTCAAGAGCTCCACATAGTTCTTTGACTCCTTCCTCTCCTATTTTTGTTCTTGTCAGATCCAACTCGACTAGTTGGGCCGTGTTCAGAACGTTTGCCAATTCTTTTGCACCAAAATCAAAAATATTGGAAATTGATAAGTCAAGGACCTGCAAATTCTGATTATGCTTTAGAGTAGCAGACAATGACTTACAGGACTCAATATGAAATTGTTCGTTTAGACCTAGCCAGCAATGTTCAAACTTTCTCAACTTCGAATTATTTATCAGTCGATCCACTAGCATTTTATCGTAAAATCCAACAAACAGTCCCAGTGTTTGCAGTTTTGGACATGCTTCAATAACTCTGGCTAACTCCTGCATGTCGGTTAGAGGCATGGCTGTGTGCAGATTAATAGTATCTAACCCACATGCATATTTGCCATCCTTTTCTATTTTGAAGATTGTTTGCAGAGCCAGTAAGTCACTGTGGTTTAGATTTCCCCTCATTGAAAGATAGGACCCCAGCAGAGGAGCCAGCTGAGGGTTCCCAGCTTCATAGACACAATGTATTAGCATCAGGGTATGAGACATCTCTGGACCATGTAATAATGACATAACCGCCTGTTGCCTGTTGCCCTATAAACTGTTGTCCATGCCTTGCACTATAGTTCGTGCCCCAAACCAATAATCTTGTCTGTTGTTTAGGGGTGGGGTCCATATCAAACTGCTTCTTATACCTAAAATACTCCAATACAGCTCCACTTTTTATAAATTGACTGTGGAGACTTTGGTCCCAAGACTTGACTAAATCATTAAACGGCTGTTCTTCAGTTGCATTATGGCCAGGACTATGTTCTTGATCATCTGGGCAACTTTTTAACAAAGTCCGATGCATCCTTTGTGCAACGTGCTCAAGTAGGATTTCATCTGGCTCATTAGTTCCATACTCTTTTACTACTTCTTCAACAATTGATTCATAAAGAGAAATTAAACTTGTTAGTTTTAGTTCTGGCATGCCTCTGAATCTGCAACAATCTCAGGTCTGTTTGCATGTTCAAAATAAATGTTGAATAGTGTCATTATCTCGTCTAAAGTTAATGTCTCATTTACCAGCATATTTTCTCTTATCTTCTCAAGTTCTGTTAGATCACTAAATACTTTATGATAACAATTCATACACTGCATTGTTGGGAATGGCTTTGCAATTACATTACTTCCCCCTGCAACAGACCCAGACCATCACTGCCTATGTTTGAAAATGAATGTCTTTCTTCCATGGTTGCCTTATAAGCCATTTCACACAATTGGTAAAATTTTGGCTGTAATTGAGGTGGAATGTCAGCCAAGGTTAAGAGGTTGTCTTCGATGTCAAGTATATCTTTCTCTTTGCAATAGCGATACAGACAAGAGAGTGCAAGCTCAATTACAATTGCACAGAATGACTCTGGCAGGGTTTTGCTGCAATCGTACAAGTGTACAACAATGATCAGCATGAGGGGAAGGTAACAATTTCCTTGAAGTTTTGGATTTCTTTTGATTATTGTGAGTAATTCTTGGGCTCTAACAGACTCTTCAAAACATCCTTCCACATATGCCTTGATTTGGTCTGGAGTAAAGCCCAACAGTTGCACATGAAGTGCTACATATGGCTGGAGATTTAACGTTGTATTGGATCGAGATGACACTAACACAACTGCATTGTGTAGTGGGCTACGACCACCTTTGGTGACAAGGTTTATAAAAATTGACTCTTTCCGAAGACCTTTGGGCAATTCGTTCCATCCTTCAAGTATCACCAATACATCTTTTCCCTGCTTTTTTTTCAGCGCTTCAGCCTCTTGGCCAGAACAATAAGGAAGTATTTCGACTAGGGATTTCCCCTCTTGAATACTTTTATCACGTAATTCGATCATAAGCACATGGCTGAAGGTCTTAAATAGAGCCCCCTCCTCCCACTGCTTGCAAACATGCCAACACATTGTTGATTTCCCTGACCCTGGAGCACCTTCCATGATAAATACTTTGCCCTCACCTGACTCTATTTCTTTATAAAATCTGACTAGTTCGATTGCTGCATTTGCTTTCAAAACGTTGGGAATATTTCCTTTTGTTATGTCGTTAATAAACATCGGGTCAACTTTAGGACCCTTAATCATTGCTAGTTTAACTAACTTTTCAGTAGGAGGTGGAGGCCAATCAACTACAGATTTTAGCCTATATTCCGAATACCTTCTCTTTAGTGTGTCCCTATACTGCTCAAGAACAGACGGTAATGGTCGACCAGGCTCTGTCTGGGCATGGAGTAGCTTACATGCACTGTCAAGGGCATCAATTTGGTTTAGCTGAGATAACGCCCTTAAAAGTTTGCTATACGTTGCCTTTGATTCATACATACTATTCCACTGCAGCATTAGTTGGTATTTCTGATTATCTAAGTCAAGATAACGTACTTTTATTTCCTCCACTTCTTCATGGAGCCCAATTTTTCCTGCAAACATCTCCCACCAACCTTTGCCCAACAATCTTGATATTTGGTGCAAATCAACTTCAGAGACTCGCCATCTTCGCTTGGATAACGGAACCTTCTTGACCAGGAATTTTCCACTTGGGGCCGTTATCTATAATAATTATAGCACAGGTAAAAACCTTTGTTTTCATTCAGGTTATCATACTCACAAGTCACAAGAGGGCCATAAACATGCACTCCGAGCTAGGGGCAGGACTATATTATTATATATAGCACTACATGTACATGCAAACACTTGTGTCTGTTTGTCACCCTTTACACCTGACACAATCTAAGGCTGTTCCAGCAATAGGATTATAGCAATGCGTAATGAAAACCTTCTTTAGCTTCTAATGGTTGTGAAATCAAGCTGGGAACTCAACATTCATTCATCAGAATGTCCTATATAATTATAAACTGACAGCTTTAATATTCAGTGCATCCTCAAACTTATCTTCAGGAGAGACAATCTGATGCGCGTTAGCCAGGACATATAAAAAGCGGACAGCCCTTGAAAAGCGCTAAGGTTGAGCCTGAAAAGAAGTAAAACCTCCTGAAGCGAACACCTCGAGTGCCTCCAACATTTCGCCACTTAAAACAGAGACTGAGATGGCATAAATGCGTCAGCCCATTTTGGCTCGAAAACACTATATACACAGGAAGATGTATGATGGTCAACCTACAGGCGTCTGAGCGGTAGAATATACCCGAAGCTGTATACAATACGTTCCGAGCCCGACGAGGAAAACGGCTTCGAGTATAACATACCGCTTCAGCACCAGTAGGTTAACTTTTTAAATACTTAGCTACACTTACATCGGCCATGGTCCGCACAAAAACAAGGATGCTCACTTCTCTGTTGAAGGGGGGTGGGGCTCGCTTCTTTCACACGCAATAATTATTCATGCGCGTGGGATGCGCGACACATTGCCGTGCCCTGAACAAGAGGTGGTGGGATTTATCCCACTGGTATATAGAGGTGATTTTCTTTCTTTCTATATACATCTCTTTCTAACCTGATTAAATTAATTGGGTGAATGGCATGTCATGCCTTTGAAAACGAAAATGTGTTTATCTGAGTAACCCAATGAAGAGAGCTATTCCTCCCAGCACTTACATCCTAAACACTCAATGAATAACTAAATAAGCAAGTGCACATGTACATGGAGTGGAAATCAAAGAAAAAGAGCATATATACCTGCAGAGAGTGAAAAACATGCAAAATACCCTAAATAGTCACTCCCTATTTGAATGAATCAGTGTTAATGTGAGCGGATGATTGATGTATAGTAAAGGAGCTATAGAGGAGGAGGGTGAAATGTGAGGGGTAATTGTCAGGTAGAGGGTGACACTGGGTGGCCGTGTACCCTCACACGGTACACACACGTGTAGAGCTCATTGCCGTGGTTGGAGAGAAAGTCAAACAGAATGTGGGTGTAGGCTTTCCCCTCCTGCAAGAACAGACAGAGAGATAGGTACACAGAGACGAGGAGGTGTGAATCTAGAATACAAGCTGATTGGCAGGTAATGAAAAAATCATGGGGTTTTAATGCAGGGAAATAATTTAAACCACACCCAGGAGGCCAGGACAACACTTGGCAAGTCGTAGCACATGGGAATTGCCAAAATGTGGCAAAAGACATTGTTGCCATACTAAAGACTGCACAGTCCAGACGACTATACAAAACGACTAACCCTATTTTGCTGAACCACCACAGTGGATACTGATACTGTAGTGAGTCTAATTACAGGCTGTTTCTAATGAGTCCACTTACATCTCTGACAGGGAACTCTTGAATAGGTGTGCCATCAATGGTGTAGGTAAACTGCCCCAGTGTTTCTCCCTCGTGGACCAGCTCTGTCTCATTCTTCCCCTGTTGGTGTTTTTGTGTGTTTGGTTATGTGTGAAAGTTTATGAACTTAAGTGTCAGCTCTAACCCAATACATGTTTTATATTTGGTTGTGACGGTAGTATGCATGCAAAAAAGTTAACCTACATCCTTACTGCCTTGTTGTGACAATATTAAACAAGATACACACACCTGGCTTGGGCCATATATGTATACCTGCTGGCATCTTCTCCCCACCACCAGGTATTGTGTGGGCAGCTAGGCATGTGGGTGGTTTTTTTTATTACTAGGGATGGCAAGTGGCTCTATTAAATGTGTGAGTGTGTGTGCGCGCGCGTGGGCGGAGGGAAAGAGGGAGGGAGGAGGACTAACCAGTATCCTGAACTCTCTGGGGGCACTGGTGAGACTGCCAGAGGGAGTGAGGTCCTTGGGGATGTGTTCAACTGTCACACCTGTCACCACCACTGCCTCCTTCAACTGGAGATCAGAGAGATGGACATTTACGACGCAGTGATGTGTGCCAGTGTAGCTATACTACTTGTGTTTTTCAGTCAAGTAATGTATACAACGGGTGTTTTTCAGTCGAGTACAACACACTGTACGACGTTGTAATGCACTGCTTTGATAATACGGGCTCCTTGATTATGAAATACTGTGCTGAAAATTTCCCCCAGACACGAGTTCTGTATCAGTTTCTTTTGCTAAGCTACCTAGATGGCAGAGCTATTGCACCACTGTGAAGGCATTTGGCAGGTATGCTCATCAAGCTCTATTGGTAGGGATCACTTGCAGTGCGTAGCTATCCAGGCAAGGCACCAGCTTGCTTTGCTTGCCCAAAGACTACTTGTAAAACATTTGACATTTGTAGTACATCTTACCCTGATCAAGGCATAGCCTGTAACCCCGTTCATGGCCCAGCAGTCACCTGGATATACACCAGGCTGTGGAGGGGAATTATAGTCTTCATACTGATATACGTACATACAGTTCAATACGTAATAGTTAATGTACGGAAGTCAGTGCTGTGCGCGTAATAATGGTACGAGGGGCGTGGTCGAGATAGTCATACAGCACGAGGCGCAGCCGAGTTGCTGTATGATCTATCGAGACCACGCCCCTCGTACCATTATCACGCGCACAGCACGTACTTCCGTACATTAAGTTATGTATTGTATGCGTGGGCGATTCAAAAGGCGGCAACCAGGAAAACCGGCGGCATTCAGAGGACGAGAAGCTCGCGGAGCGCCCTTCCAGCAGCGGTTTGTGTCACCGTCTGAGTCGAACTCCGTCTACAAAAGGCCGCCGAGGGCGTCATTCCCGCAAAGCGTACGCTAGACCGTGTATATAGTTCAAAAGGCGGCGGCCAGGAATATATATATTTTTTCAAGTTCAGAAGGACTAGAAGCTCGCGGAGCGCCCTTCCAGCAGCTGTTTGTGTCACCGCCTGAGTCGACCTCCGTCTACGAAAGGCCGCCGAGGCGTAATTCCCGCAAAGCGTACGCTAGTCCGCGGATATAGTACAGTTCCGCGCGATATAGTACAGTTCATTTAAAAACCGTTCTGTATAATGAATATAGTACTGGCGGCGCCTTTGATTCGCTCACGCAAAATATAATAATGTACATGTACAGTAGTGTAGATGCTGTACGCATACAGAACGAAAGCCATGATACAGTTGTGTGTGCGAAACTTCAAATATATGGTTATGATGGCCCACGCAACATGTGTACCCACCCAATAGAAAGGCTTTGCAACTTTGTTGCATGGTCTCTCATACCCATACATTGTATCTTGAAGAGGCTATAATATATGTCTCATGCAAAAAAGTTGCATCTTGTATCAGGGCATTAAGTTCTAGGAATGCGCACGTGCATATTTTGCTCGCGCTTGCCAGCCAATGTGTAAACAGTCCAACTGAGGCTGCTCATGCGCGCGCTCTACTGACTGCGTGCGAAGCCAGACTTCCTTTGAATCTGCGCGCACGGCGGAAGCTAGACTTGTTACGAATGACGGAAGCTGACATTCCCTAAGCGTGACTAATTGACATTCTTAAGCGTGACCGACACGTACGTACGTACGCATATCATGAGAATACAACCCGGAGTAGTTGCCTCGCGCTAATGCGCTCGGCAACTAAAAGCCGACAAAAAATGAAAAAGCACTAACGTGCAAACCCTCGGTGAACTGTGCATGCGCAGTACTGCTAATTGATGGGCTGGGCTATGAGTACGCGTGGTTTCCTGCTAGTAGTCCGCGGAGAGTCTGACACAGGCTAGTAGATAGCATGCGGGAGTCAACGCGCGGTCTTCGTTGTTATTTCTTGTGACTCCAAGGTACACAGAGCGAGCAGATCAGGTCGAGGCAAGCCAGCGGGATTATGCATATTGGCTTTTTCGCTCGTGTTTCATGCCATAACTCCCGAACGCAGCAGTTTCAGAGAAAACCCTACATATCTTTCGACCTATACCCGACGCTGAATACGTGGTATTGTTTGTGGAGCAATTGAAGTGAGATGTCGAGTAATGGACTGACAGACAGACACACACGACAACTACTGTAACCCTCGCTGCGCATGGGCACCGAGGGTTAATAATGAACACGTGGTTGTAGGTAGGTGTACAGTGTACCTGTATGATGGCCTTGGGGGAGCTGGGGACAGTCCAGAGAGGGACACCCATGAGACTGTATGTCTCCAGGGCAGGTGGGTAGGTGTCAGAGCTGCTCACCACCACACCGCCAGAGTTCTCCAGAGAATAGTCAAACTTGGCAATACGGTCGGCACTGTATGTGGCCAGTGCAGTCCTGATGAGCTGCTCCACCTCCTACATGTATATACATACAGCCAGATGATATACCCTCCGGTTACATGACATTGTGCCCATACCTTTCTGGTGAGTCCTGAAGTTGACACAGCTCTTTCTTCTCCTGCTTTCTCCAGCTCCTGCAAACCATTAGCTAGACATAAATCCTTTTCCCGGCTTTCTTAATAAATAACTGCCCTGGGAAGGATTAACCCATAACGCTTCAAAGGCTTGGTGAGCAGCTATAACATTCAAATCAAAACTTTTTAGCTCTGCTAGTGATACTGAACAAATGAAAAGCACTGAAGTGCAAACCCTCGGCGAACTGCGCATGCGCGGTATATTAGTATGCGGTCTCCCGCTAGTATATAGCTCGCAGAGAATCTGACACGGGCTAGCTACAGTAGTAGATTAGCATGCGAGAGTCGATACACGCCCTTCGTTGTGACTTCTTGTGCCTTCAAAATACACAGAGCAAGCAGACCCTGTCCTGTGCTAAATATAAGCGCATGCGCATTTTCCGGTTCCGCAGCGATAAAAATGGCCGACTACGCATTAGCCGTACAATGGTGGAAGCGCTCTAGCTTTGCAACGGAGCGTTTTCAGAGAAAACCGTTCGAAATTTGGGACCTTCATTGCCCGTTCGGTAGGTGAGATGAAAGAAGATGAAGAGTAACAGACACACAGACAGACAGACCCAACTACTGTAACCCTCGCTGCGCATGCGCGCCGAGGGTTAACTAGTACTTGGGAAACGTAACACACAAGAAGCCTTACTAACATTATTCCCATACCCCACCCAGTAACTCTGGAGAGGGTCTGGAGCAGTTTATTTGTGGTGCTAGTCCCCTAACGTGTGGCCCAGCTCAAGTGGGTCATGTGATTGCCGATTGCATAAGTTTGCCTGACCTTTCCCGAGCTAGTTGTTATCGGCCTACTGTAGTGGCTTTCTTCAACACTACTAACCTGAGAGAGCCACAGCCAGAGGACACTGGTGTCACTCCCCACACTCTTCTCCATCTCCTCCTGGAAGGCTGTGGCCAGGTCCTCTCTCCCCAGCCTGGCCCCCTCTAGTGACTCCAGTCTCTCCACCACTTCCTTCCTCTCCTCCTCCTCCACTGACTTCAGCCGTGCCACCTCCGACTTTATTGATGCCAGCTGACTCGTCTGTGAGTCTGCCCCCTTTGTTAGGTCGCTGATTGAGGCAGAGGCTGTCTGGAGCTCGAGTATCAGTTGCAGGAGGGACTCTGTGGCTGTAGTGTTGTTGTCTTCCACCAACCTCTCCAGAGCCAATAGCTGTGTGTGCACATATTGAACATGTAAAACAGTGAACTGTACTACCAATAATTATATAGCTGCACCCCATGCACCCAGTCAAGAACATACATACTGCTCACAGCACCTTCTTTGAGAGTTGATTGTCTCTTGCTGACAGTTCTTTCCTCAGGCTATCAACTGACTCAGTCACTGAAGACATCTCTTGAGGAACCTGCACAGAACACAGAGCAATATGTGCAATACTGTTTAATATCACTAAGTACGGTAGTACTTAGTATATAGGGATGACACTTTCAGTTAGTCGTTAGTTGTTTAGCTAATTCCCATGGTCTGGCAGGCAAACTTTAAGTTCCTGTAGTTCTCGTCAGAAAACTACTGTAGAACTACAGGGAAGTTGGTTGAACCTTGGGTTAGACATGTTCATAGGCTGGTGCAGTACTGTCTCATTGTTACTTCTCCAGCTAACCCCTGGTGATTATCCCAATGACCTCTCACCAGTTTCAGCCACTCTTGTTTGGCAGAGTTGAGCTGTTGCTGTATGTGGAGCTGGACCATCTGGAGAGCAATGGCCTCAGTGATGAACGTGGACTGAGACTGATTCCACATCTCAACCAGTCTCGTCTCCTGACTCTCCACCTCTGACAGAACTCTCGACAGCTCTATTCCCTGTGGTAACATACCCGCCGTCATTCATACATACACTATAACAATTGTTATAGCCACAGGACACACCGCCAATTGGTCATAATTACTACACATGCACACACACCATGTATATACATATACACTAACGTAAATGTTAGAGGTATCGTGCTTGTCTCTGCCCGTAACTGTTGCTAACAGGCTAATCAAATACATTACATACAGATAACTGCTTATAGTACAGGGCCCAAAAATTCCCCTGAATGGCCCGTACGGGGTGCAACATGGCGCTAATGGGAGTAGAACGTAAACGACTGTTCCCTTGCATGGGCTGTTCAGAGGAGAGCCGAATACACTGTGTGCACCTTTTGATCAGATTCAGTCCTCAACTGCTGTAAACCTTCTTGTGATGCATTCCGTTCCTCTGTCAGTCTGCTCTCTACCCATTCCTTCACCACCTGTGCCACAATAAACGTACCCTCACACCATACAGCATTGTACACATAGTACACATGCATATACAGTACATACACGTTTGATCAGTAGTTTTGGAAGGAATTGTACAACTTTCAGTCACCAACACTATCTAAAGGTTTCCTCTATCGGATAGACAGTATGCCAAACAGACTTTTCCTACTGAAAATGTTGGTTAGAGAACGGATACACTTCCACATGCTTGAAATTGGTGACACACATGCACTGAGAATTTCCCTCTAGACTTAACAGTTAAGGAGGGGTATTCTACTCTAGAGTCCCAGACTCCACTTCACCTTGTCAACATGTTCCGCCACATGATGGTGAACGTCTTTGGAGAGTGTGCTCCTAATAGAGGCAGCGATCTCAGAGCGGAGTCTGTCCAGGTCAGCACCAGTGATGTTGAACTGAGGAGAATCTGCAGTTGTTGGCACCAAACCACCTCCTGCAGCCACATTGTGCATGCTCACAGATGGTTAATGAAAAGCACTAAAGTGCAAACCCTCGGCAAACTGCGCATGCGCGGCACCGCTAATTGATGGGCTGGGCTATTTGTAGTATATATGCGTTTACTCCCGGAGTAGCTCGCGAAGAGTCTGACACGGGCTAGCTACAGTAGTAGATAGCATGCGGTAGTCGATAAACGCCCTTCGTTGTGACTTCTTGTGCCTCCAAGGTACACAGAGCAAGCGGACCAGGTCGAGGTAAGCCTGTGTTAATTTGCATATTGGCTTGTTCACTTGGTTTTCATGCCATAACTTCTGAACGCGGCACTTTCACAAAAATCGGCATTTTAAAAATGAAGCGGGTGTAGCGCTGAACCCGTTGGTGTCGCTATTTTACCTGTTTGTCGCGCGTGGTGGCAGAAAACGTGGACGGACGGACAGACAGACGGACAGAACAAGTACTGTAACCCTTGCTGCGCATGCGCGCCGAGGGTTAATAACAAACACCAACACTACACCACAAGCCATCAGGTGCCCAATGTGTCAGATGAGGGAGGAGGAAGGGAAACACCCCACTATGTGGTAACCTATCACTCCACCCATGCACCCCCAAAAGTGTTTAGTGTATATACACAGATTGTGTGGAACAATGTCCTTGTTGCTAACCTTGTTGACACATACAGTAGGTACACACAATTATATGTAACAGTAGTTACAGTGAAAGTGAGTGTACATACCAATCATAGCAGCAATGAGAGAGATGAGCACCACTGGCAGGACCCAGAACCTTAGCCATGGCCTCTGGATACACAAACACACATTCAGGAGGGAATCAGTAACATATACACGCAGTGAGCAGCAAGGTGTCCAAAGGTAACTGAATTGAGTTAGAAACTCACAGATGCTGCGTGGGTGCTCCAACATGTTACTGCAGTAAACACCATATAGCACCTGAGACCATTGGGAAAACTGTATTCAGTTTGCACTAACCATTATCGGTCAAGTCACACTACAAGCTTAAAAAGTTGATAGAGGTATACACTGCAGTCAATTGTACCTGTGAAGTATAATGACGTCAAGGCAGAGGACTGCAGTTGCAGTCAGATAGAGGAGAGAGCCCAGTTTGAACAGGACACTCACCACACCACCTACCACCATACCCAACACTCCTCTCCGGTCACCTTCTGTGGAAATGCACACAATTAGGACAGTTACGCAACATGCTTGAGATTCAAACAAGTCAGTGCCTTAGGAGGCAAAGGAATAAACATTACAGAGCCGATATTCTTACACAATAAAGTGTACTGTACATTATAATACTACCAAGCACATTTTAACTCCTGGTGTTACATATGTACATAGAAATCATGAACCATGTGATGTTGGACAAGCAAGCAAGCTGCCACTGAAGCAGCATCAGTGTTGTTTCATGGTAGTAACATACATATACATCATGGTGGTGGTAACATACGACCAAGTAGTGTAACCATTGATGCACATGCATGCCAAGGATAGGGTAAACCAGTAAAACAGCTACCATGGTTCTCGCAAATGCAAAACCACCCAGGCAATAGCAACTACACCACACGTTAGGTATAATACGGACAAAGTTAATTGGTTACACAATATATGTATGTATATGTACAGTATAAAGTCTTCCTGGCATATGGGGAAGGAGAATATTGGATGGTAAGTAACATAGAGAAATATGTAAAAGTAATACCACGTGAAGGAGTGGCAGGAGGTGGAGACACACTCCGAGTTTGTGACTCAAAGTCCTCATCCTCACTCTCATCTAGACCTGTCACAACATCACAGACAATACACGAATCACGGGGTGTCCACAAAAGGCAACATCAGCATTATTACGACCCTAATTGTGCAGTGCATAGGACAATGCCAAAGGCAACACAACCGTTATCATCTCTGTAGAGAGAACAACTGTAAGAACACACAATGTGTAGCAGCACACATTTCGTACCATAGAGATGTTGAGGGTCGGGAGTACCGAAAGGTTGACCCGAAACAGCATCTATCTCTTCCCTACTGTCACCTGCAATGATGTACAGATTCACACACTGTATACACATTGTAAGTGCTACAAGAGCACAAGTACCTGAATGTCTGGAACCAGTGTCATCTTGCCCTAGGTCAAAGTATGCAGGAACACTCTGGCCACTCTCATTGAGGATACTGGCATTCTGCTGCTCCAACTCCTTCATGTAACCACTCAGGGCAGGCCGTGACGTGACAGACTGGGTCACAGTCAGAAGTGCTGGTCCCTCACTCCTCTCTCGACTGTACCGCTCCCGAAGTCGAGGACTCCGCCTTACGTCGCCCTGGGGCTCCTGCAGCTCTTCCAGTCGCCGCCTGGGATGGAGATTCCAATTAATGCACACTCACACCATGCAAAAGGCACAGAATTCTTACTTGCTCTTTCTTCTTGAGGCCATCTTACACGCTCTCAGGAATATTTTTTTGCTCGGTGAAGATGGAAAATAAGCCTGACTGGGTTAGTTGAAACGGGAGAGAAGGCCGCCGAGGCGCCGACTATTTTCAAATTTCCTCGTGCGGTGTTTCACGGTATGACGGTATTGGAATGGCGGCACGACGAGGGCGATGGTGATTACGTCACTAGACTTTGGGAGATCAGCACGTGCGCGGGCCGAAAAAAAAATTGCGAGAGAGGACGAGACCGAGGACCAGAAATGGCGGAAGGCCCATACCATTTGTAGATTACGACGGGAGTACAGTCACCTTTGCGGTTCCTCTTTATCCACATCCTCTAAGGAAGACTCTGGCTACCAGTTACATTCCCAGAAGAGTTTGTAGACACGTGAGGACAGCCGAAGTTGATCTCCAAGAAGGACCTCTCCCCGTTTGGACGCCCGAGTTTTCCCCTGAGGAAGTGACTGTAGATTCTACCAACCTGGTGTTTTCTTGGCGTCAGTCTCGTGTAGGTATATACCTTGGACCGTGTTGAGAAACATGGAGGCTGTCGCATTACACGATTTCCACGCCACCGCGGAGGACGAGCTCTCCTTCAAGAAAGGCTCAGTACTCAAGGTGAGTGTATCTGTGAGACAGAATTATTTCTATTACTGACATCATTACACAGTTAGGCTTATGTTAGTAAAGCTGTACCGAGATAAGTACATATGTCTAGACCCACACTCCCGGTTGGCTGGTCTGAACCTTGATTTAGGGTGTAGCTGAGTGTTCAAATACCATGCTAGTATCTTGTCAAGCACGTCTGTTGTAATGGAGAGGACCTGGGAGGTGTGTACATGTGTAGTCATATTTGGGAAACTGGTTGGTGAGCTTGTGCCTTGTGTTTCTGTTTGTACCCAGACTCCCTTGGCAAACTGTGCTTCTTTGAAACACTGCTTGTAAGCACAAGCCCCCTCACGTGACCCCTGTGGATGTGTACACAATCTGACCTAACAATACACTGGCTACTATATAGATGTACTTTTGTACATGATACACAAATGTATGCACACAGATTCACCCAAGTCTGAGCCTGATGTTTGACTGAAGCAGACGAGCAGTAGTAGACTTGGAGCACTATTTTACACACAACACTGCAGCCATAGTGCATAGCTGGGGAAATTGGGGTAATGACAAAGCCAACAGCATTGGTTGTATGACTGATTGCATGAGGATGCAAGACTGCGTCCTTTACTTCTAGAAGAATGCTCTGCGTCTATATTGCGTGGTATATACATATGTGAGGTTTTTCTGTGTGAATGTGTACATCAACAAAGTCAAAAGCTGCACATGGAGTTTTACCAATGTACGTATAATAATACTCTAAATATTGAGCTCTATGCATAACAGAGTCACAGCTGTATACTTGCTCAATTATGCCGTACTCTCCTACCATACATGTATGTATGATCATGGACTGCATAATTATAGTAGGCATGTTATAGTTGGTGTTGTGTACAGGTAATGGTGATGTCATGCATTCCTTGTGCATACATGTACATGGTGTTTTGACTTTACTGAATGCCCTGTTAGTACCCACAACTGCTTTCATGCCTCATGTGTCAATTCCTTAATATTTCCAATTTAGCTTGTGAAACACTACCCCTCAGATCACTAATCCCCCATTTTGTCTACTCTTGGCTCTGGGTGATTCAGTACTCATGCAAATTAGCCCAGGCAGTGTTATTCTAGTGTCTGATACGATAAGTACATTGTAATGTATATTTACACAATAGTGCCCATGTTCTTGCTGTAATGTACGCGTGCATGCATAGACATGTTATGTGTCTTGTTGTAATGTGCAACTGTGTATACTGTGGTCACAGAATAACAGAGTTTTGTTGGTGTGGACAGATTTGTTCCTGTCAGTGTATACAAGCCCTGTAATTACGCCTCAGTGCGCATGCACAACGCAGGTATACGCTTACATTGAGCCAACGCCCAGTAAGTATAGTGCACACGCAGCTTCGTACATACATAACGTGCAGCCAAGCGCATCGCCGCACTGAGGCACCAGCACGAACCAGCAGTACGTACCTCTGTTGCTTTTATAACCTACTGTTACAGGGCTGGCGCCAGACTGCGCCATGGGGCATAGTCCCTCTATCTCTTCATTTGTTCCCCTGAATATGCTTCCCAGGGGATACTTTGACCCCCAAATACATAGTATGCGTCATGTTGTTGGAACCATCTTAGGGGGCTGATTGTCCCCCAGCAATAAATTAATCTCTGGAGCTGTAGCTCTGACTGTATACATCAAAGCTGCTGCCCTTTTGGCACCAGTGGATGTAAGCAGAGTGTACGGTACAATAGCATGTTGTGGGTCTTGTGGCTACGTTGCTGGTTGTGTGGTTGTGTAGTGGTCTGTCCTGCTGCGTTGTACAGGTTCTCAACACTGAGGAGGACAAGCACTGGTACAAGGCCGAGCAGGACGGGAAGGACGGACTCATACCAAAGAATTACATCCAGATGAAGCCCCATGAGTGAGTTATATAAAACTGAGCTACTAAAAGCTCAGTCTGTGGCTGTCAAGTCAGGGTCCAATGCTGGGCATGTGTTATAAAGTTTGCTCAATTATCATATAGCCTTCATATATGGCCAAATTCTGTGTATTTTGGTTAACTACTTGCTTCATATCTGTTGGTTGCTTAGTTACGGTAAACAACTGTCCATAAAAGGTTTCAGCATCATCCCTCGTGCAGGCTGGCTGCTTGGTGATGTCAACTAAACTCTGCTTTCAAATAACTTTCTTTGCTCATAGTACATATATATTTGCATCCACTATTGTGCCAAGGTTTCACACTTCTGGGTGCCGTATGTACATACGTAGTAGATTGTACTAAGAAAATGCCAGCAAACTGGAAAGTGTTCTTTCTCCTACATACTATAATACCTCCGTGTATATTTCTCATTTTCCTGTCTGTGCCGTCTTTGTAACATACTCTGTTGCTCACTGGTGAGCCAGGGGCTGGTTGCTTTGACCATGCAAAAAGGGCCATCCTCCCCTATTCTTCAGAACATAGAACTGGCTCTGTTGATTAGTTAGACCATGGCCTGACCCATCAATTTAGCTGTGCTTTATGCGCACGCTTTTTGTACACATTAACACGCTGTGCAGTCCATTTTGCGCTTGGGCTTTGCATTTCAGTGTAATTTTCATTTTCTGTTTCAGGTGGTACCGTGGCCGAATAACACGAGCGAAGGCAGAGGAGATACTGAGTCAGCAGCCTCACGACGGAGCGTTCCTCATCAGAGAGAGCGAGAGCACTCCCGGAGACTTCTCACTATCTGTCAAGTATGTACAGTATGCTTCCGTTTCTATTTTTAGACCAGAGCACTTATATGTGTGTAAAAATAGCACAGCACTATTCCTGAGTCTAGTGCATGATGTAATTCTCTTGTGTTGATTGTTTTCCATGGATACATCCTGCACTCCAGGTAACATCACAAAAATGACCACATAATTATGACAAGTTGATCCACCAATAAGAGTATAGGAACCTTTTCATATAAATTTGCAGTAGGCAAGATCTAACGCTCGTTGAAACAGTAGTGACGCTGGCTAGTGGTATGCAGTGTGTCATTCTCTAGGGCTGTTTCTGTTTGGGCATAAACTAATTGCGCATATTTTTCGAGTGCCTGTTGTTTGTTGTTATATACATAGGGACAGTTTCATTTCTTCCTACAAGTTTATTATTAGATGGGCTTAGAGAGCTCTGTCCATGTGTGTAAGAGACCATCAGACTCTGGGCTATTTTGCTTGTCCCTATATATAGGTGTTTGTACATTTGATCTTATGTGTTTGTTGCATAATATGCGGCTGTGTACTCATACATTGTATGACATGTATACTCTGTGCACCTTTCTAGAGCACCAAGTGTTTTGGTACTTCACTGTTCTCATTGCCTGCTCAATGTACATACCTGCAACTTGTATATATAGTGATCTCATTTCCTGCCTGGCCCTGCTGTAGCACAGGATGTCATATATACACACACCCAAGTCTTTACTTTCCCCTGCTTATTTCCCTGTACAGCAAACATACACCCCTATTCACTGTTCTTCTACCTGTGTTATTGTAATGTACATACAAAGAGTTTTAACTAACCGACCGTTCCATTTTGTTGCAACGGCGGCATGATTTCAGCGTGAAAGCAAGTGAGGGCTGCACTTGGTGTATAGTCGAGCTGTCTTGTGAAAACTAGAGCAGCCTACTGTTGACCATACGCACCATTCCTCTCGAAACACTTTTGAGCATAACCAAATAGACATTCATTGTTGGTGCAAACGGATCAGATGAAAGCAAGGATGCATGCTGTACTTGATGGCTCCTCCTGTATACCGATGTGCATTGTACATGTACATTATGTTGCATTCTTCTCCTCAAGGTTCGGTTGGGGTGTTCAGCACTTTAAAGTCTTGAGAGACGGAGCTGGAAAATACTTTCTGTGGGTGGTGAAGTTTAACTCCCTCAATCAGCTGGTGGAGTATCATCGAACCTCCTCAGTCAGTCGGACTCAGACTATCTACCTCAGAGACATGGTGAAAGAGGTCAGTTAACCAACTTACTTCACTTAAGTATTACAACTGGACTCTGCCTAGAATGTGTAAAGTGGTGTGGTTAGTGAAGTTTATGCCATTTTGGCTGTGTAATATGCTCCCCACCTTCCTGGCGTACAATTTTTCAAGCTACATACATGTAGGCAGTGCATGCAGTTTAGGAGACTGTAATGTACAGTGAAAAGCCAATTAATCGTTTTAGACAGGCAGAAGCCTATTGCCGGCTCAGCAATTTCTACAGCTTTACCATTTTGGCCGAATAAACAGAATTATGCTCTCGGAGTAGGACGCCATCTATGGGTGCGCTAGTTGGTGGTCTGGAGCTATTATTGTGTAATAGTACCCACATTGAGTACATACAGTTGTCCCCCACCAGAGAACACCCAACACCAAAAAAAAAAAACAATTCTAAAACAACAAAACAAAAAACAAACAAACACAACAAACCAATAAACAAAAAAAACCACACACCAAACAAAAGAAAAACACACAAAACAACAAACCACAAAAAAAAAACAAAAACAAGAAATAACAAAACATACAACACAAAAACAACAACATCACCAAAAAAAAACCAAAACCCAAAAACAGAAACAATAAAAACAACAACAAAAAAAAACAACAAAAACAACCCAAAAAACAATAAACCAAAACAAAACAAAACACAAAAAAAAACAAAACAAAACCACAACACACCCACAATCAAAACACACAAACAACACACAAAATCCAAACAACAACCACAACACAAATAAAAAAAAAAAAAAAAACAAAAAAACCACAAACACCCCCCAACAACCCAACACCAAAACCAAACACCAAATACAACCAAAAAACACCAACAAAACCAACACCTACACACAAACAATCACACAAACAAAAAAACACCCAAACCCCACCCACCCACTAAACACCCCCAAACAACAAAACCACACCCCACAAACCACCATACCCACAACAAACCACCAAAAAAAAACAAAAAAAACAAAAAAAACCACACCACCACACAAAACACCCCACACCAACCAACAAACCCAACAAAAACAAAAAACCAACAAAAAAAAAAAAACAAAAAAAAAAACAACAAAAAAAAAAAAAACCCACCAACAAAACCCCACACAAAACCCACCCCACCACAACAAAAACCAACCAACCAACCAACCACCCACCCAACAACACACCCACCAACACAACCACCACACACCCACCCCCACCACCCAACCACAACAACACAACACACCAACACCACAA